AAGCAGTGCATGTTAGAATCTTCCCCTTCGCATAACCGTCAGACGGTTTGCCAAGTAACGAAACTTGGCTTGTTTCCAGTGCCGAGACAACTATAACTTCTTGTTTAGCAGAGAGCTTACGGGGTTTCCTGGCACTCTTTCGCTTTACTCGAAGGGACCCTTGAACTAGCAATTCGGCGTCTATCAGGATAGCTTTAGATACGACGTCCGAAGCTGCTTCATTTATGTGGTTGGTATCCATCTGCATCTGTGACATAATGATTGGTGCCACAAGTTGATCATCAGTGTAAGCGATCAAATCTGCGTTGTTGGAGACCGGAAGCGTCTTCATGAGCAGATCAACCCTAAAGCGATCTGAGAGCATCGAGAACGAACGCTCTATATTTCGCAGCCGGGTATCAAGAGATTCGTCTCTCGTACGAAAGGCCGCGCGGCTGCAGCAACTGGCACAACTGAAAAGCAACTTTTCGCTGGAGGCCAGCGCTGCGACGTGCAAAGAAGTTTCCGTAGGAAAGAGACGCCCAGCACTCATCCGAAGTCGTACACGGAAATGGATTGCCTCCAGGAACACGGCATGGAGAAACTATCGCTCCCATCCAACGGCCACTCAGTGGGAATATTACCGATCCATCCGTAACCAATGCGTCCATCTTGTACGAGAAGATAAGAGTGAGCATCAGCGTCAACTTATGCGTAAATTTTCATCCAATCCCAAGGCCTTGTATAGACACGTCAATAGTCTTCGACAAGTCAAACACGGTGTCACCGCATTGACGACCCCCACAGGGCTCACGAAATCAGCTACTGAGGCAGCAGAAGTCCTGTGCAAGCAGTACGCATCCACATTCTCCGTTCCATCACTGCACACAACGACGGTACCTTCTTCGGTTTCACTCTCAACTTCCCTGACGACTGTTCATTTCACTCCGGAGAAGGTCTTGGCGAAACTCAAGTCCCTGCGGCTAACGGCCTCTCCTGGCGCTGATGGTTTCCACCCACGGCTCTTGCGAGCGTGCGCTGCAGCTCTAGCTTTACCCCTAGCGGAGCTGTTCACCCACTTCTTCTTGCAAAGCAAAGTTCCCAATGATTGGAAATGTGGGACTATTACACCAATCTACAAAGGCGGTACTCGCAAAGATCCGGCCAATTACCGACCGATAACTCTCCTATCTACGATCTCCAAAGTGATGGAATCGATCGTCGCAGACGCTTTAACGGATCACATGGAGACCCAGAAACTGCTCTCTGATTGCCAGCACGGTTTCCGGCGTCAACGGTCTTGCCTGAGTAACCTGCTACTTGCCAGGGACAGCTGGACGACTGCAGCCGACTCTGGCCAAGAAACGCATGTTATCTTTCTGGATTTCGCCAAAGCCTTCGACAAGGTCGACCACAAGATTCTGCTGCGGAAACTGTCATCTTACGGCGTTTCAGGGGACTTGATGGACTGGATCCGGAACTACCTCCAAAACCGTACCTTCCAAGTACGCGTCGACGGAGCGTTGTCTCCCTGCATCCTTGCCACAAGCGGAGTTCCACAGGGGTCTGTTCTCGGACCGCACCTCTTCCTAGCCTTCATTGACGTCACACCGCAAGTGGAGTCTTCGCTGCTACTATACGCGGATGACGCCAAGCTGTGGCGCACAATTAACCTTCCGGACGATGCCCACGCACTTCAGACGGACCTCGACCGTCTACATCAGTGGTCCATAGAAAATAACCTTCCATTTAACGCTTCGAAATGTGGGAGCGTCTATCCTCCAGATCTCTTCAGCCGAAAGAGACTTGGGTATCATTACCCAGACGAGTCTTTCCGTATCCGCTTCCTGCCGGAAAGCAGCTGCTGCTGCTAACCGCATGGTGGGATTGCTGAAACGAGCCTTCGGTCAAATTGACCCCAGCAATTTCCGCCTCCTCCTTAACGCTTTTCTCCGACCCCACTTGGAGTTCGCTATTCAGGCTTGGAGCCCTTGGTTGTTGAAGGACCAACGCATACTCGAAGCCCCACAACGTCGAGCAACCAAACTGGTCCGAGGTCTCAAGCACCTAGATTATCCACAACGACTTCAGTGCCTGGGCCTCTACTCGCTTAAGTACCGACGTCTACGGGGCGACCTGATCCTCGTATTCATGATCTTATCCAACCCTGGACATCCCTGTCGCCACCTACTCACACTGCACCAATCGGGCTCCCACCTACGTGGCCACCCACTGAGGCTCACACATCAGCACAGTCGGCTGAACTGCAGACGACACTACTTCTCTTTGCGAATCTGCCGACCGTGAAATGCTCTGCCGGCCGATTTAGTCTTGGCACCCACTGTGGCGGAATTTAAGGCCCGCTTGGACTGTCATCTGGCCGAGCTACACCGCGATATTCCCTAATTTAACTACATTCTACTGGATGGAATTTCTTTCTTTTTTTTCTTCCACCTTCCTTTCCAAAGCCGTTTCGGAGGGCGTGGTGGGATGTCTCGCTTTGAGCCGGCGTGCATTCTGTTTAAATGCCACATAAGCCCGATGAATATACGGCTAACACGCGAGTCCAACCCGCTATAATGTTGCTTGGCCTTTCATTAAATCCGACCCGTACTCTTTTTACCCTATGGGTCATGTAAAGCTCCAGCTTTTATTCCCATTAAATACAATGTTCCAATGTTCCAACAGCCTCGGTGCATTGATCGACCGACAAAGTGAAAAACAGGATGGGATTATAAAACCTACTCACTAGTTAAACGACTTCAATAAAAAAGGCAAAAACTGGGTGCAAAACGGGATTAAAACTGGGAAAACCCGGAAAAAAAATTATCAGCAAGCGCCAAAGACGCTTTGACCAGAACCGCTTTAGTCAAGTTCAAGTTCAATTTGGACAGGAACGGTAGGAGAATTCCCATGTGTGTTCCTTCTTCAATGCGTCGTTGAACCAGGATGGAGTTCGCGGGAGCGGTTTGGAGCCGAGAGGAGCCAAATCAATACACACGAATCACATAACGGTCAACCAATCAATGCTCACGCGGCCTGCACTAGCAGTCCCCACTGTACCGGCCACGTGAATAGAATAAAGGTTAAGAGAAGGGAACCAACAAAAACAAAATAATGGTAATTGTAGTACAGGAGAGAATGTGTGGTTAAGACAATAATAGTAATAGATGTGAGGAGCCAAGGAAATAGATGTAAAAGTTAAGAACTAAACGGAAAGGTCTGAAACTGTAACCCAAGGGCGTCGAGTCGATGTTCAAACTCCTTCACCGTTGGTGCTAACACTACTTCGCTGGGTAGTGCGTTCCATGAGTCGATGACCCTGCGTGACAACCGAACGTCAGCTCTAACGTGATCAGATCTAGGCTTATGCAACTTCAGAGGGTGACCACGAAGAGATGACATCTGAGCCGGCTGGAACAGTCCAGTTAGAGCAGGCCCAATCTTGTTGGTCAATATACGGTACGTAAGAATCAGGTCTCCCCGAAGGCGCCTATAGTGCAGCGAAAACATCTGCAACCTGAGCAGCCTATCGGGATACGAGAGATGCCTCAATCCTTGTACCATTTTCGTACCAACCCTCAGAACTCGTTCAAGTGTCATCTTATCGCGTACCAAGCATGGAGGACAGGCCTGCACGCAGTACTCCAAGTATGGCCTGACGAAGGCTGAGAACAATATAACGAACATTTCATTTGTTATAGTGCCGAATGACCTGCGGATCATCCACAGCATTCGGAAACCCTTACGGGTAGCATTTATCCAGTTCTCGCTGGATTTGAAGTCAGAGGATAACGAGATACCCAAGTCAGTTTGTTCAGTCACTTGACGCAATACATTTCCGCCAAGTACGTAAGAAGTTGTGGGAGTGCTTGATCCTATGCGCAGGACCGAACACTTTGCAAGATTGACTGGCAGCTACCACAATTCTGACCACTCCCAAAGCTTGTCCAGAGCTGTCTGTAAAGCCGTGGGCCCAACAGAACCGCTCACTGTATTCCAAAATTTTAAGTCATCCGCAAACATAAGGGATGGTACCTTAAGCTTCTCAGGGAGGTCATTGACATACAATGCAAACAGTAGAGATCCGAGAACCGACCCTTGAGGAACACCACTCAGAACGGCTTGTCTGAAAGACAGCCCGGAACCCACTCGGACGCTCATCTGCCTTCCTTCCAGGAAAGCCGAAATCCACTTCAATACTTGACCTGAAACGCCGTAGGATTCTAGTTTAAACAAAAGACGGCAATGCGGTACAGTGTCAAAGGCTTTAGAAAAGTCGATGAACAAAACATCCACCGCCTGTCCTTGGTCCACAGCCTCAGCCCAGCACTCTCGGGCTACCAACATGTTAGTCAAACAGGAGTGGCCTCTGCGGAAACCATGTTGAGACGGGTTGAGCAAACTGAACTTAGCTAAGTGCTTTTCCAGAGCATCTCTTACAAGCTTCTCTAATACTTTCACCAGTACGCTTGTTAGGCTAACCGGTCTATAATTTTCAGGTAAGTGCTTATCACCCTTTTTGAAAATAGGGCACACGATAGCATCTCTCCAGTCAGCAGGTAGGGAGCAGCTACGAAGAGACTTCTCAAAGATACACATCGGTTTACACAGGAAGCCAGCCAGCTCGTACAAAAGTTTGGGATGGAGGGCATCTATCCCGGCAGCTTTTGTGGGATTTAAGTCACGCAGGAGATTGAGTACCTGAGCTTCCGAGATGGAAAGGTCCATCAGAAAGGAGTCTAAGGGTATCTTTGCTTGCAATTGGATATTAGGCAATGGAGATTCATGAACAAACGACCTAGCATACTGTTCTGCAAGTAAGCAGGCCTTGGCCTGATCGGTTGATACTTCAGTGCCGTCAGGTCCAAAGAGCACAGGGATAGGCGGATCAAAGAAAATTCGACAATAGTCAAATTCCGGTGCAAGTGTTTATTCAAACACTGTTTTCCACAATATTGCAGTTAAAAAGCTCGATCAGTACGGCACGTCAAAAAGTCGGGTTACCGCGTAGGACTCACAGGTACAGCCCGTCAGTCGGACACCGTGAGATGATTGACATGTTTAAGTTCAGTTGGGACTAAAATCATAGGAGAATACCGTGTGTTCCTTCTTGGGCAGGTCGCTGAGTTAAAAATTGATGAGATGAGAAAAATATGGAACGCTTCACGAGATGGCGTGTCTTCCTTGCGCAAGAGCCATGCTAATCTTCTTCGTATCGCTCCAACTTCAGTGTATATATCGGCGACGACTACTATAATCGGAGATGGCAATGTTATATATCTAAGATGTACGATGTTACTTGCGACCTTTGTAACTTTATAACGTGACTTTATGAATTGTAGCTACATAACATGCTGTGTTTTTTAACCTTTTTTTAACTTCAAGGTCGGGAGCAGACACATTTTACTAGAAGCACATGATCAGTTGCGCAATTTAATATTTGACTTCTGCTTGGTTCGCGACGTAATCCGGTAATCCAAATGTCCGGGGCTCGATTCCCCGTCGAGGCAGAATATTGTGCAGTTTCACCGTGTCTTGAACTTCTGCTAAAGTTACATACTCACAAAACCACCAAAACTCTAAATTTACCTTCGCCCTTTGAACACCTGAAGGTGTAGTGACAAAGACAGTTTACTGCATCAAGCATCGCCATCAGACTTGTACACATTTTGTTTTACTTTTCACTCCTCCAAAGCCCATATATACCGAACTACATTTTGAACTAGTCGGCCGTCTTGACCGCGCGTTGCCCGCTGTGTCGCTCCGACGTGGGGTGACTCGTTGCTTCACCACTTTCTCCCACTCTCTTCAGGCTATATTTACATAGCTATTGTACATAGCTATTTTCTCAAGACATTCTTTATATCCTTCTGTCTTACTGGGCTACTGTTTTCTTGTGTAGCATTCGTCAAGGCGCTACAAAGGAAAGATACAAGACAATAACACCAATATTACCACGAGGTAAACAGCAAATATTGGTTCCAAATGCCTTCAAGACCTAATCGTAGTTATCCTATATTTGTCCCATAGTATCTGGTTTAGGATAGCGACTAGCGTAGCGGATATTGTTGGCTCCACAGACGTTCTCGACCGGTGTTGCTTGAGCCCATGTTGACGGCACACCGGAGTCATCAGTACCGCCGCTAATAAAACATGCTTCGCACTTCACACGCCTCCATGAATGTTGTTTACTGTGCGCAGATAAGTCCCTTGGCACCTGCATCAACACCGCTACTATGGAAGTAGCAGGTGTTGGCTTCACATGCCTTCCTGACGGGCCTAGCTAGGTCTTAAACCAGGGACATCCAAATGGTCACTGTCAAAGTATGCACTATAGACATGGCGAGCCTCCATCAGGAGTATTGAATAGGTTCATATGCATCCCATAGCGGACGGCTTTAACGCCACGAGCGAAGCCACTGAGCTGGGCAGTAGTGGTATTTCAAGATGCACGCATGGAATGGGTTACATCAAGGTCATAGGTACAAGGTTTACGCGTGTCACAAGTAACTTCATTTTTTGCCTCCTGGGATACAAATGTCTGACATCCCTTCCGCTGCGTAATCAATGAAATATGGCATAATCACTGCAACATGGTAATGAATGGGAAACATGTCATGAACTTCAAGGTGGACGTTTGCACCGATTCCAAATATTCAAGTCCATATGGGGAGTGTTTTCTGCACGCTTGACCCTCAATGCGTATGCACTGAGAATCGGTGTATTGCACCTTGTGCCACAAACACACAGGAAAATAGAGTGCATAGATGTAACGCAAGGTTGACATACAGGTTAAAGAGGTACCGGGCTTGTGCACGTCCATGCAGTCAGCGTGGATCTTTCACAATATATATGTTAAGAGGATTATCGGGGACCAGAAGAGCCTTTGGATTTCGTGAGAAACACATGATCACCTACCATAGTAGTGCCACTTCGCAACCTGTGACTAGGGTGCGTATGGGCAGGTGCAACAAAGAAGAAAAAGACACAAGTGCGGAACTTGTGGGCAGACAACCACACCCGCAGTTGATTTCGGAAGTGAGCTTGTGTCCGTTTCCGCCACACCGCACTGCTGCTATCCGCTAGTTTGCGGACAGGCAGAAGATGTACGCCTCATCAATAGACATCGACTGCATAAAGGTGAGGCAGGGTTATTGCAATGGTGTATGTAAGACGATGGTAGTCACCAATTTGCGTCAAATACAGCGGTATCAGAAGGACATAGTAAAGTGTCACATGTTAACTAAGGTTTGAAGGAAGTAACTTTTCGTAGTACAGGTGCACAACGTAGTAACCTTTTATGACGTCCAAACCGTTCACAAATATCCGCGACCTTGATGGTGAGCGTATAAATCGCTCGTAACCAACAAAGCTTGAGCACTAAGAAATAGATTGTATCCCGTGAAAAGAAGGGCATCACGCACTCCGAGACAGGATTGCACCACAAAATAAGAAATCCAGGTGGCGCATGTCTACTGGCGGTCTAAAAGCCAGATTTATATCTGCGGTCACTTATCTGCAGTGATACGGACGACATGTGCAATGGGCCATTGTAGGTGGATACCAGTTGGAATCCAGGTTTGCATCCCAATCAGTAGGCAGATTTGTGCGGTCCGATTGGCAGACTTATTCAAAGCTTTGACTTCGCACGTGGCTATTAGGTGTCAGTTTGTCAGCAACGCTTATAAACCAGAAAGTGTAAGCATGAATGCCGTTAGTTCTAATTTGGCCTCGGGTGAAGGCGCTCAGCGCCCTGCTTGGGGAAGCATATATATGGACCTCCTGGGGACGATTATTTGCCATACGACTAACAGCGCACTTAATCTACTGACGACCGTTGTCGCTAGCACCTAGAGGTCACGTCACGTTCAAGTTCAAGTTCAAGTTCAAGTTCAAGTTGGACTGGAACGATAGGATGAATCCCGTAAGTGTTCCTTCTTGAGCGGGTCGTCGATCCAGGAGTTGATAGGGGTGCTCCGACTTCTTGATGGGTCTAAAAGGAAAACACCCGAAAAACACCCTGGTCCACCAATTTAATGCCCACGTTCCTAACATTAGCTGTAACAGCTGTGTCAGTTACGTGAAGTAAGTAAGAGAGGAAGGAGAATCGAAGGTAAGGGAGTAGGGGAAATCAGTTAAAAGAAGAGAATAATACCAATGACGAGGAAAAGCAAAGAAAATAGAATCGAAGTATGAAGATGGGAATTTGTCAGGAAAACGGAAAGGTTTCGTGTTGCCACCCAAGAGCATCTAGTTGACGCTCAAACCCCTTAACCGTAGCTTCCTTGACAACATTTTCAGGAAGCAGGTTCCAGCGCTCGATGACTCGACGCGATAAGCGTGTCTCCGCTCTAACTCGATCGGACCGCGGCTTGTCCAGCTTCATACAATGCCCACGGAGACCAGATAATCTAGCAGGACTAAATAGCATGGACAAATCAGGGCCAACCTTCCCAGTCAAAATACGGTAGGTTAGGATTAGGTCCCCTCTAATCCTTCGATAGTGCATTGACTGCATTCCCAAACTAAGTAGGCGTTCGGGGTACGTTTGCCCTCGTAATCCCTTGACCAACCTAGTACCGACACGCAACACCCTTTCTAGTGCCATTTTGTCCCGGACAAGGCATGGTGGACAGGCCTGGACGCAATATTCTAGGTGGGGTCGCACAAACGCTGAGAAGAGCTTCACAAATACATCAGCGGTTAGGGTCCCAAAAGAACGACGGATAAACCACAACATCCGGAACCCTTTACTAGCCGCCTTCTTCCAGTTGTCTCCAGAGTGTAATGTGGAACAGTGGATGACACCTAGATCAACCTGATGAGTCACGTGAGGAAGTACAGTCCCATCGAGCACATAACTTGTGGAGGAATCAGACGCTCCGATACGCAGCACTGAACACTTTGCCCGGTTTATAGGCAGCAACCACAAGACAGACCATTCCCAGAGTTTATCCAGAGCCCGTTGAAGAGCCATAGGACCTCCAGGGATATCAACAATATTCCAGAGCTTTAGGTCATCAGCAAATAAAAGCGATTGTACCTCAAGCTCCTCCGGCAAGTCATTCACGTAGACTGAGAACAGCAGCGGACCTAGGACAGAGCCTTGCGGAACGCCGCTAAGCACAGCCTGTCGAAACGAAAGACTGCTTCCCACACGAATACACTGTTCCCGTCCATCCAGAAAAGCTGACACCCACTGGAGAGCACGACCAGCTATTCCATACGACCTCAACTCCAGCGAGAGTCGCGAATGGGGGACAGTGTCAAAGGCCTTGGCGAAGTCAATGAACACCACATCCACCGCATGTCCACTGTCTACGGCTTCAGCCCAGCACTCTCGAGCTACCAGCAAGTTCGTCTGACACGAAAATCCTTTGCGAAAACCAGGTTGCTCGACGCTAAGCAGGTTAAACCTACTTAAATGGTTCTCCACTGTATCTCGTACTATTTTTTCAAGTAACTTAACGACCACGCTAGTCAAGCTGACAGGCCTGTAATTAGCAGGTAGGTCTTTGTCACCGCACTTGAAAATCGGGCAGACAACAGCCTCCTTCCATTCGGTAGGCAAGATACAGCTGTTGAGTGACTTCTGAAACACACAAGTCAGAGGTCCACTGAGTTCCCCTGCCAATTCGTGCAACAATTTTGGATGAACAGAATCTGGCCCAGAAGCCTTAGTTGGGTTCACCTCTGTTAGCAACCGGAGAACTTGGGACTCCGTTACAGGAATTTCATCCAGACAACAGTCCTCAGGGACTCTTGGAACTAACTCTTTGCATGGCGTATTTGTCTCGCGGACAAAGACGCTTGAGTACTGCTTACCAAGCACGCATGCCTTGTCATAGTCGCTATAGGCATGGGTCCCATCTCCTCGAAGCAATGGTGGAATGGGCGAGTTTGCACCACAGCGTCGTTTAACGTAAGCAAAGAATCTCTTGGGATTTTTCGAAGCAGTATGAGCTAAGCCCTTTTCATACTGAAGCCGGGCCAACCTAAGATGTAGCTTGCACTCATTTCGAACCAACCGATATTTGTCAAACGTGCCATTTG